TTATTATTATTATTATTATTATTATTATTATTATTATTGTCATTCAAACTAAAGGAATCAAGCAAATCATACCCAACATAAGAAAAAAAGGAACAAGAAAATCTTCCACAATCATCAAGTTAGAAAAGAAGGAATGAATAGAGCTTTGATACCATGTGAACTAATATAGCAGAAAGAAACATTTCTAGGGTTTCATTACTAAAAAAAGCAAGGTTGTAAAAGTCGCTAGACGGTGGTAGGGCGGTCGACCGAGGGTTAAGGGACTAACCGGTCTAGGCGGGGATTAATCGGCGCCTAGGTGGAGACCCTTAAATGTAATCAATTTTTTTTTAAATAAATATTACTTATATTCTAACAAAATTAGTAAAAACCCATAAAACTTTGTTCAGTCGTCTAAATAATTAAATCATTGTATATAATAATTTTTTGACTAATTGGGAATCTTTTTTAACAATTTTAGTCACCAGTCATCATAATTTAGTCACTCAATATCATAAATTTGAGTGATCGGGAATTTATTTTGAAAATTTTGATAATCTGACTTTTTTTCATGCTTAGATCGTCTAGAGCGCCTAAGACCGCCCAGGACCGCCTACGACCGCCTACATCCGCCAAGACCAACTTCGTCTAACTCGACCGACTAACATTAATCGTAGACAGTAAGAGGCCGCCTAGCGTCTAGGCACTGCTGATTTCTACAACACTAGAAAAAAGTATATTAAAGAAAAGACAACTATAAACAAGGAAGACAATATAAGTTAATCTAGCTAAAAGGATAAACAAAAAATTCAATGCTAAAAGAGTTCAATAAAAACTTGTTAAGCTAACAATAGAAATAAATATGTTGAGGTGGACAAGTGGTAGAACTTAGCCGGACATGATGCAGATTATGGCAATAATAAATGCATCGGAGCTACGTCAACCATATGGAAATTGTGTGAATGAACATTAAGTTGTTCGGACACGTCCATAAGAGTCAACCGTGAGGATGATGTCAAGACTCATTGTCAATGATGTGAGAACGAAAGGACTCCGAGAAATAAAAAATTGAAAAATATAACAAGGGGTTAGATACCTAACTTGAAAAACTTGGTTTTTAGTATGACAAATGATATTAAAGTGTGAAAGCTTAGAATGAAAATAGGAGAAAATTACTAATATAACCAAGTTTGCTAATTACTTTGTAAAAAATAGCCAAAAAAAAATCAAAATTAAACACAATAGCCATCAATTTCGCAGATGGATTAGGACCAGTTATGAAATGAGTATTCCATATGTGAACATAGAAACAGTTTATGCATGTTTTTGCTTTGAATACTTGTATGTTTACATATAGAAAATCCATGTATGAAATCAATCGTTCCATCTATGAAATCAATTAGTTTTAGCTATAATTTTTTTTTTTTCAAATCGCCTATTTTTCTAGTTTTTTGGTTCTCTAAGGAAGCTATGGATGAGAAAATGTATTCTTCTGAAAACATGGTAAGATATCTACTTAATTTGTGTTTTAATAATCATTTATCATTTTAGGGACGTTTGTTTATGATTTATTTGGAAAAAAATAATTGATTTTTCGGTTTTAAAATCTTAGTTCTATGTGTGTTTTGATACTTTTTCGAAAACAAAACCGAAAGAAAATGTTTTTTCGGTTTCAAAATCTTTGATCTATGTGTTTTTGATACTTTTTCGGGAAAAAAAACTGAAAAAAAATATATTTTTCGGTTTCAAAATTATAGATATATGTGTCTTGATACTTTTTCATAGAAATCCTTCATTATTTAGAGCATTTCATAGGTAGCCTTACGGTTTTGAGAGCATTTCATAGTTGGTATTGTTAGGAAATTGCAGATATGCAATTGTACAAGTAGGAGATATGTAATCGTGCGTTGTGAGATTATACATTTGCAGATATACAATTTATGACGTGTAAAGTGATTTTTGATGCAAATATGATACACAATTATGATATAAATCTGATTTCCGATGCATTTCATAGTTGGTATTGTTAGGGAACTGATTTATAATGCAAGTATAATGAATCGTGCATTGTAAGGTTGTACATTCGCAAATATATAATTTTTAATGTCTAAAAGTGATTTCTGATGCAAAACTGATACATAATTCTTATATAAATCTGATTTATGATGTATTTCGTAGTTGGCATTGTTAGGAAACTGACTTCTAATTCAAGTACACAACTATAAATGACCATAATTTCAAACATTTTCTAGAAACCAACTTTAAATTTCATAAAAGTTGATTTTTGTAAAATATATTGCTATACATGATCATAATTTCAAACATTTTCCAAAAACGAACTTTAAATTTCGTAAAAGCTGATTTTTGTAAAATATATTGCTAATGACCATAATTTCAATGATTTTCCAGAAACCTAACTTTAAATTTCATAAAAACTTATTTTTGTAGAGTATATTGCTATAAATGACCATAATGTATCAATACTGATTTGCATGTAGCACACTCTATGCATTACATATAACTCTAATAGTGATTTGCATTGCAACTCAATTGTCATATTTATTTATTTTCACAGCTTTATGAATTTTTTTTTATTTACTTAAGTTAGAAATAGCAACTTACTTTTGTTATAATAAGTTCACTTTTGTTAAACTTATTACCGTTTGTGTTGTCGATAGTTTTGATGTTTGTGATGCATTTAATGTGATATTGTAAAAAGTTATACAATTTTAACGACTTGTTAAACTTATTACCGTTTGTGTTGTCGATGGTGTTGATGTTTGTGATGCATTTAATGTGTTGTAAAAAAAAATACCCTTTTAACGACTTGTTTTATTTCAGCACGCCTCTCAAAATTTTAAAGCGGTGTATATGTTTGTATGTTTATGGAGCAATTAACCAATAAGTGTAGCTATAGACTCTAAAAATGCAATTTTTACATTTCGTGAAAGGATGGCAAAAATCTTTTAGGGATCCTATATTCGTCCGATGTAGTTGTATTTGATATGTATCTAACTTAATGTTTGATTTGTAATTGTAACTGTTTGGGTATGAAAATTAATTTTATATATAGCGTGGCACACACCGCCTTCATACATAATAATAAGTTTAAATATTAAAATCTAACAAAGATTGCATACACCTTATTGTCGTTACAGCAAACCATAATAAAAAGTCGACCATTACAATTTAAAAGACTACCAATAGACATAAAACTTACAACTTAAAAGACAACCAATAGACATAGAGCTTACAACTTGAAAGAGTCGTCTACATGAAATACTAGTTATTTTTAAGGGGATTTGAAACATCCTCATACTCAAACTCACTTCCATCATGCTCGTACATGTAAAATCTACTAATTTGTAAGAATTCATGGTTATAACTGTATGATTTCGTAGCCACTAGCCAACCTTAAGAAATTCATAGTCAAAACTAACTATTAAAAAAAAATCTACCGACAAATTGTAGATGGAATGAGAGCATTTCATAGATGGATTGCAATCTATCTATGAAATGGGATAATTTGCTGGTATTTATACTTCAAGCAATGATTTAATAGATGAAATGAGAGCATTTCATAGATGGACTACAATCCATCTATGAAATGGGGCTACCTTGGTGGTATTTATACTTCAAACAATGATTTTATAGATGATTATTTTGCTAACGTACAAGTCTTCGAAGTAGAAATGTGCATAAACTGTTTGTATGTTCGCAGATAGAATACTCATTTTATAGTCGGTCCTAATCCAACTGCGAAATTGATGATTATTGTGTGTAATTTTGATATTTTTGGCTATTTTTTACAAAGTAATTAACAAATTTTGCTATATTAGTAAATTTATTAAAAATAATGCAATATAACTATAAATCTAGGTACTAGTTGTCTTTTCACTCTGTCATTGCTACTCAGTAGTTACTTTTCTTTCAATTTACATTGTTAGTATCGGATTCTTGTTTTATTGCGTTGGGGTATTCTTGGTGTTTTTCACATTGATGGTTTGTTAAGGCTACCTGGAATGGAGGGCAAAAAGATGCGTGGGAGCTGACGTGGCAGCCCCCTTCACGCGTGAACACTGCCCCACCTTCCAGTAGGTTGCTTGTTGCGTGGAGCTGGAGACGGAACAAGATGCGAGAAGTGATTGGTTAATGCTCTCTTTGACTGTTTTCTTTCTTTACGAACGTTGGAGTTTTTTTTTTTGAAGAGTGTATCAATGCTTTAAGAGTTGCAGAGTAAAAATGGAGAAAAGAGCCGGACGATGCGTATGGGAGGAAGAAGACAGCAAAATGAAAGACTTGACAGTTTTGGTCCTTGAAGTCTTGGTTGATTACATCTTCCACCCTAAATCAAACTTCGTACACAACACTTTTTCTCCGTACACAACAATTTGTGCTTTAAAGTGTTGTATTGTACAACTCTATAATGCATAAATTGTTGTGTATGGAAAAAAATTGTTGTGTACGAATCACTTCCCAACTTTTTATGCTTAAATAATGATTTTCGAAAATTACATATCATACCCTTTCAATTATCTTTTTTCAATTTCTAATATAGCTTTCAAATATACCTTTTATAATTAAAATATTTTTTTATTTTTAATAAGTGTGTTTTTAATTTTAATGTAATGTTTGTTTTTTATTTAAATTATGGTTTTATTTTAAAATATGGTTTGTATTTTGTTTTTTATTTAATATAATGTTAAAAAAATAAAAAAATAAAATAAAGAATTTGTAGAGTGGTAACCATTTCCAATGGTTAGTGGGTTGGAGGTGGAGCTGACGTGGCACACATGTTGCATCACTTTTTCGATGGATTGAGTGTGACCACTCCCCACAGTCTAATTGTTACAAACGTCGTCTCCTAATCCGCTTTTGGCCCGTTAAATACGATAACTGAAGCCCGTTAAATAATGCTTAAAAAAAGTCCATGCTTTTGGCCCATGCGGCAGTAATCCGCTGCACCACTCCCCACCCTATTTCCCAAATGGATAAGCAAGCTTCATGAAACCGTATATATATAACTCACAAAGTAGCTTTCAATTTCAATCATCGTCCCCACAGTCAACCTCTTCTAATCACTCAAATCAGTCGAAAGAAGAAAATGAATTTACTTATCAGAAATGGAAAATCTGTTGTCAATTTCGTGTGTTTCATGCTAATCGTCTTCGGAGGATCGGTACATAGCCGTGGGTTACTCTCCTCTCAGGATAGACCGAAGCCTAGTAATGCCGCACCGTTTGCTCGATGGTTGGTTTCTCAGAGTTCTTGGGGCGTTTTAAGGTGAGATTCCTACTTCTATCTTGTTATTGTATCTTCAATTTGTATCTAATTGATTGCGTTTTTTCCGCTATGTAATTAGTGATAATCTCTTCAAGGATTTGGATTTCTAGGTTTCTGATGTTCATTGCTTAACTTCTTTATGTAGTTGAAATTGGAAATCGGATTCAATCAGTTTATAATTTGAAAAAAAACATACTTGGATTTACAATCACAACTTCCCCTCAATTTCTACAGAAAACGAGTTTCACATCGAATTGAAACTCAAAACTTCGTAATTTAGTTTAGAAGTTATTAATCATCTCCAAAATTTTGCAGTACCATTGCAGAGGATCTAGGCGGAGCACCTTTCGGGTACGTTGTTGACTTGTTTCTGTTCTTCTTGTAAGATTATTGGAGTACAATGAACAACGCTTCACATCTTTCATGTGATATAATCGATCACGCAGGAATGTGGTTTCGTTTAGCGATGGCTTACCTAATGAAGGCAAAGGCATTCCATATTTCTATTTAACATCTCTGGATCCAACTGCACGTTATGCATTGAAAGATCATAGATCTTCCTTCACACTCAGTGAATACCCTCTTGGAACTTGTGGCAAAATCGACCCTGAAGAACCCACTTGCTCTAAAATTACTCTCACTGGAAAGGTATGTTAAGCTTTGAATGAGATAAGATGAACTCTATACAGTTTAATTGATTCTACTTTGTTTACAGTTGAATGAGCTAGATGCAAAATCTGAGGAGGCTGAAACTGCTAAAAAAGCTTTATTTGCGAAACATCCTGATATGAAAAGTAAAACTTACGTTAATTATCATATTTTATTTCTTTTTTTAATAAAGGATGAATTGACATTTTGAGTTTTCAATGTTTGTTGATAGAGTGGCCAAAGGATCATAGTTTCCAGGTGTACAAATTGGATATTGAAGAAATATTTATGATCAATTTCTATGGTGGCCCTAAGCCTCTCACAGTTGATGAATACCTCCGTTCTGGAATGTAAGTCAAAGGATCCGGGAGGAGTAAAAGTCAAACCTAAGTTATACGAATGTAACATGTGATAGTTGTAAAACATGGGAATATATTATATATAATAATAAAAACTACAGTTATTTTTTTATAAAAGAAGTTTGTTGGATCTTGAAAGCAAATTTATGAAGATATATTTGTGTTGTCTACAGGAATAAAGTAACAGCTATTATGTGAAAAAACCAGTGCGAATTCATGTCTCTGTCACGAGTTTTATGCCACATGATGAGTTTTAACTCGAGAACGTGTAATTTGTTGAAATTTCTGTAATATAACGATTCAAATTCTAGAATTTTTGTATGTTATGGTTCATTGTTTCAAGAAAACAATGGAAGTGTAAATGTAAACTAGTCATTGTTGATCATATTTTGGTATGTTGGTGATGGAAGATCGATTATTCTTGTTTTGTTATTGTGTATGTTGATCTATGATGGATGGATTTCTTGTTTTTATATAAGTTCTTGATCAATTGCCAAGGTTTGAGAAATAATGGTGGAGTCATGGTGTTTATGTTAGAATCAAAGATTCATGATGTTTAAAATCATGTTGTGTCTAAATTTATAGCAGGATGCACCACTTAGGTGGTGTTTCTTCATTTAATGAACTTAAAGAGGGAATAACTTGATTCATAATAGAGTACAAAAAGAATGACTCAAATTTAGCAATTAGGAGAAATCAAGTTTCCTCAATTAAGCATGTGGTTTATCTTTTACTTTTATGTTCTTAAGTGTATCGTCATTTTCCTTCTTAAATATGTTTTGTGGATAACAATATATTCATTTATTACTTACGCCATGTTCTTGAGTTTTTTTTTAAGGAATGAATCATGTTCTAAAAGAAAGTAAATTTTTTTTTTATGTTTTTTTATGGATGGAAAAGGAAGGAATCGTGTTTTGAAAGAAAGTAAAATATGTTCTTGAAATTTTTTTTTTTGAGGGGAGTGAAAAAGAAGAGGAAGGAAAGATTAGGTTTTTTTTTTCCATGAAGTCTATTTGACCAATGCTCTTTTCTCAAGAGTTAAAAAATGAAGGGAAAGGAACACCTTCCAATTGACCCAATCCAAATACAATGTCTTCAGGATCTTTCCCAATCATGGTGATATTTCTATTTAGTTTTTTGATTCATGCACTTTAGTGGTGTAGTCAGAATTTTGTTTTAGGCAGATCAAATAATTTAAAAAATATAAACAAGTAGCAAAATATTGAAAATGGTAACAAAATGTAACAATATATGATTTTAAAGTAAATTGTTCGTTTAAGTTGGAAGTAACTGATTAATTAAGATAATAAAAAAATTAATATACAAACCTGATGAATGAGAAATTCACTGTGGAGATTGAAATGCAATTTGATCTATTCAAAAAATTGTTGTTTTAATTCTTTAATCGACATGTCTTAACATGTAAATTATTTCCTTCGTTATGGATTTAAATTTAAAATGGAGTGAGCAATGTTACAATTCACAGTTTTAATATTTTTTATTCAAAAGAAATATAAAATCTATATATAATATATTTCACCTCAAATTTGTGTAGAGTGGGCCAAGACCCACTCTTGCACCTATGTAGCTATTTCTCTGTGCACTTTAAAACAATGTGATTTTAACTTTTTATATCTTTCGTCGCGATTAGGTGTAAACGAGTCGAGCCGAGCTCGAGCCTAACCAAGCTTGAGTTCGGCTTGTTTAATTTTGAATAAGCTCAAGCTCGAGCTCGATTCGAACCTTAAAATGAAGCTCGAGCTCGGTTCGTGAACAATTTAGTGTGCTCGCGAGCCT